TTCCTTTCGACTACAATCTGTTCAAACAATGGTAAATTTGTGACATTGTGCCGTTATAACGCAAAAAAATGTAAATAACTCTTTCTAAGTACAAACGTTTCTTAATTTGTACAGATGAGCTTTATGCAAGCCTTGTGGAAGATTCTCTATCGTGAACAAGGTCCGGGATTGTCGCCACCAAGGATTGCGGAGTTTTCGTACCCAACTCCTTCAAAGGATCAAGAACAACTTCATCGGTAAGTATGCCCATTTTTTTGTGATATTAAACGACGACTTATCAACTTGGTTCTTATCAAGCAATGCTTTTATTTTATGTAGGTCTGACAGTGGAGTCTGGGTATGCATGTGGATGTATGGCGCAAGCTGGGACTCCTCTTATATTTGGGTAAAGACAATTCTAATTCGCATATTAGAAAACCACAATTGATTGTTATTTTTGAATCATGCGGTAAGCACCATGTTTGTTGATGTTGATAGCCATGCACTCAAGTGAGGAGGATGCAGATCGCTTTGTACCTTGTTCGAGAGCCCATGAACTACATAAGGCATATGGTGCTCACGGAAGGAAGAAGAGTTGCACCTCAAGTTGAAGCTGCAGTGGAAGAGTACAAGAAAACCCATGAAAGGAGAAAAAAGGAAAGAGAAGAGCACAAGGAAACCCAGTCAACGAGCCCAAGAACAACCTGATTTTGCGTTTTAGTATTCAAGATGATGGACAACAGTTATGTTTTTTTTTCTCAGGATGATGGACAACCGTTTTTTATTTGGTTCGGTGAATGCTTTTTATCTTTGGTTTTTATATTTGGTTTTTGGTTTGGTGAATGCTTTTTATATTTGGTTTTTGGTTTGGTTTGGTGAATGGTTTTTATATTTGGTTTTTGGTTTGGTTTTTGGTTTGGTGAATGCTTTCTATATTTGGTTTTTGGTATTGTGAATGCTTTCTATATTTGGTTTGGTTTGGTTTGTTTTTTCGTGGAAATGGCAAAGGGACTTCACCAAAATTCCAGCTTCCAACTTGTGAGTGAGGTTGCTTCTGTTCAAGGCTTCAAGCCATTGTATCTTGTAGAGATGTTTAATTGGGATCATGTATAGTTAAACTGATTGGCCCCCAATCGTATAATTAAATTTGCATTCATGTATAGGTAACCTAAAAGGTAAAACTGATTGGCTCCCAATCGTATAATTAAATTTGCATTCATGTATAGGTAACCCAAAAGGTAAAACTGATTGGCTCCCAATCAGGATAAATAATGACCAAACACAGTACAAGGCAGATAGAAAATTCTTATGTAATTAATTTAATGTTCCTAGGATATGGAAAGGCTTCCATATAAAGGATTGAAAGTAGTGATTTACATTGATCAGGAGAGTGGCTTAAGTACCAACTCATGAACAGATTGAAGCTACAAAGTAGGAGCCAGTAACCCACTAACTAAAACTAATGACGTTACTAACTAATAATAATAACATTAATTATTTACAGAAATTGAATTTATGCACAGCCCTTATCATTCCATTCCTTGAATTTCCACCAACGATGTTTTCACTCCCCTTTTAGTCAGAGAATTCATTGTAGTAATAAATACAATAAAAAGGCATACATAATTAATGGATTCTTTATTGTGTATAATTAAAAAGATATTTTACTATAAACGAAGCATGATAGATCCACAGGGGGATAAAAGAAGCATGAGTCTTTATGAAAAAGGGGGGAAAATCACCATAGATAAAAAATCATTATAATCAAGCCATATCCATACTATTCACGCCTATCATCGTCACTATACTTGTGACCAAATAAATATAAAACCATAATTTTCGAAAACATTGCAATTCCATAGGTAGTCCCTACTTCAACTTCTAAATAAAACCATAATTTTCGAAAACATTGCAATTTCATAGGTAGTCCCTACTTCGACCTAATTGGAACTGCTTAGAACAAAAGCGGATTAAAATCTCCCCCAATGAAATTCATTTGCAATTTCATAGGTAGTCCCTACTTCCACTTCTATAATTTTGAGAAAACATTGCAATTTCATCAATAGTCCCCACTCGTGGGCCAATTTCAATTGCAACCAAATTTGCACCCTTGCAATAGCTTCTCACATCATAGCAAGTGTAGGATGCAATTGCACCTCCTTGCTTAGGGATGACCATTACTGCATCTCGTCACCTGTCTTAGGGAAATTAGTCATGGCAAATTCACAAAATACTGCATGCATAGAAAAATATTTGTCTGGATAATTAAAAAAAATGGGAGACTTTCCTAGTCAGATGATGTACTGGCTCCCCTCAGTACCTGACAGTTTTGAGTGCTGGAGAAAAAGACTGGAAAAAAAAACAACAAAGCCTTACAGTAAACTTCTTAACAAAAGACATCCAATGCTGGCCCCTTTGCTGCTCCAACGCTCCACCCCGCCCTGCATCAATCGACTCTCATGTAAGCCGAGGACGTTTGCTTGAGGATGCCTCAGGGGTCTCTTCATGCTCCGTATGCCGAAGGTCAATAAAAGTATTGGTCAATTCGGCGATACGGTAGACTGGCAAATAGGCGCACTGGTACTCCTTAGCATAAACCCCCATACCCATCCCAACCCTTTCAAGAAAGGTGGTCAAGAAGGTGGCATATGGAAAGGCAGTATACCAGTTTTCCCCTCTAGGAGCAGCCTCAACCATGTTCAGGCACATGAGAGATGCGAGGTTAACAGGAACACCTCTTTGAGCTTGCACAAGGATAAACAGGTCAAGTTTACGAATTATCGATTGACGAATGTACCTTGGCATGAAGCAGTTGACGATCATCCAATGGAGGAATCGAAGAGGATCTGGGAGGAAAGAAGCCTGGATGCGCCCATTCGTCAGTTTCGCCAGTTCAACTTCAAACTCAAAATCGTACAGCCGCCGAAGATCGCTTCTGCTATCAATGTGGTGTCCTGCGGCGGGGAGATCGAGGATCTCAGCAAACTGATGAGGCTGGAAGCAGGCTCTATAACCTAGGAAGAGCGACACGAGATGAGAATCGGAGGGACCAGACAACTCTAAATTGTGGTAGAACACTCTCACCACATGCGGGCAGTAACTGGTGCTTCCTCGACTCCGGAGATCAAAGAACTTTTCCCAGCCAAGATTTTTAATTAACTGCTTCACTTCTTGAGGGAAAGGACTCAGGTGGATGAACTCGTACTCGGCCACAATAGATGTCTTGCTTGTGAATGAAAGATAGTCCCCGAGACTTGGGGTGGATCGGCAGTCGTCGTTTGATAGAGTTAGTATGCCCATTTCCGCAAACGATTTGCCTTTGTTTGCCATGGAGTCAGAGGAAGAAGAAACAAGGGAAGGTGAAGATGGAGGAAAGAGAGATTGTAGGTGTAAGAAAAAGTGATCGTGGGGGTTGAGTGTGGAGACGTGTGATGGAGACGGTTGAGTCTGGAATGTCAAGAGTTAGAAGATTTGGGAAGATATGTCGTAATGATGATGTTAACTCGTGTAGGTTAAACTAGGGTAAGTAAAGCTAGTTAAACTAGGGTTGGCGCTGATACCGCAGGAGAAAACTAATGGGCTCGCACGTTCCAGGCCCACTTTTGAATATTGCATGGGTCATGTACAAGCCCACGTTTGAATGTTATTTAAAAGCCTGCAAAAATCAATGATCAGACCCAGTCCAACTAGAATTACTCCTAAACGCACCGTTAATACATAAACACAAACTAAGGAGACCTCTCCATCCGATTCGAATCAAATTATGTGTTCTTCATCTTCTTCCTCAATCCTCTGGGCGAGACGAACACTACATATCAGGAAACCTAAATTTCACCGAGAGATATAAGGTTCGAGAAAATCACAATAACGCTAAGACAAGATGACAAAGCACTAGTGACATGAACCTTAGGGTTAGCAAACCTCTTTCAAGGGTTCTTTTGCAAATGAAAAGTTTGATGAACACAATAATAGACATGGTCGCCGTAATCGTGTTAGAAAGAGATAGGCGAGGGGAAATACAATGGCGAAGAAGAAACAAGACAAAAAAAATTTGGGAAATTCAATCTACGTCGAATGTGGATGCAAGTAATTGGGATTCAAAAAGATGATTAAAAAAAGGGAGTTCAAATTGGATGGGGAGCTTCGTTTGGAACTGTGAAGGGGCGTCCCTCCAAGACGAGAGAGGGATCGTGTAATTGGTTAGGGAGACTGGAAATTGGTTTGGGCGGCAGTGGGTCTACCCAATTGGGTTTGCAGTCTTAATCCATTTAATTTAATCGGGGCAGTTAGTTGGACTAGGATGAAAACAAACTTAACGCGGAGGAGGCTTTTTGTAATTTGTTTAGTTATTTAGTGGCGCAGTTAGGTTTAACAAACGTGAGCCGTGGAGATTGAAAACGAATGGTTAAGATCGGCCAAGGTACCCGTACCCGGATTTTGCCCTGGGCACCGTAGAAGTCACCATATATATATATATATATACCGGGTTAACATACAAGTGAAATGAGTAGGATTAGGCATGCATAATCTGTGTATTGCCATATGTAGAAGTAATTTCATTAACAAATAAGGATAATTATGTCATTCTATTATAATCTGCAAAATACTTAGGAATTCATTTGGAAATTTCATCTCAATTTCACGAAATTGCTATAATTAGGTCCAATTTCGTAAAATTGATAATTTAGAATTGAAAATAAATTATTTCAAATACCAAATAAAATAAAATTATTTTAAAATAAATTTCTCAAAATTTATGTAATTCATTTTATACCAAGAGATATATATACTATTGAATTGATCGCCTATACAGCCAGCCAATTGAATTGCGACGCCCTCCCATGAGCATTTCAAATAAATGAAAATTTCTCCCGACGTTAATTGTATTCCTCGGAAACCTGAAGGAACAGGCCCATTGTTTTCGGCCCAATTAAATGGGCGCTGAAGAGTTTCTGTCAACCTATAACTCGGCCCGCTATTGCTGGTGGGTCCAGAATTTATCATCGTTGTTAATAGAAAACGTTGCCAGTTCTGCAACTTGTTGAGTTTACTTGCATCACGAGAAAATGTCATGGTTAGCGAGGTCTATCGCCAACACTCTGCAGCTCGACGACGACGATGCCGACGGGAATGAAGACCAGCATAACCGGAAAGCCGGCGAATCGGCAAAGGACTCGGAATCTTCTCCAACAGCTGAGTCCGATCAACATTCGCCGTCGTCGACGATCAGTTCCACGACTCCCCGCGGCGTCAAGGAAGACATCTCCGAGCTAACCAAGACCCTAAGTCGCCAGTTCTGGGGCGTCGCTTCGTTCCTCGCTCCCCCACCCGAATCTCCTACTCCTCCAACTCCTCCTCCCGCTCGCGACCAGATCTCCGATGAATCCATCGAGGAAGCCGAGAATCGGCAGCTTTTGGATCCGGAAGAGACTAACGAAGCTCTGATTGAGGGAATACGGAGTGACTTCGCCGAAATAGGTGGGAGGTTCAAGTCCGGGATCTCAAAGCTATCGACTAATAAGGCTGTCTCAGAGATCACAAAGATAGCCTCGAATTTCCTGCAATTCGCTGCGGAGGGAGACGTGAACGATGAGGATTTGATTGGGAGCGCCATCGGTGTAACCGAGGATGCTGTGGCTTTTGCTAGGGATGTCTCTATGCATCCAGAGACTTGGCTTGACTTTCCCATCCCGGAAGATGATGATTTTGAGGGTAAATCTCTGGTTCCCGTTTTATCTTGGTTTTAGGTTTCGAGAAATGTTGAATGTAGCTATTGATTTTATGTGAATTTGAAGCTGCGTAGGCTCAATTGCTGCATTTGGGTCTAGAAAGAGTCATAAAATTGTGTTGTTGCAGAATTTTGCGTCATTAAGATCCAAAATGCAGGCTTTCAGCTTTTGAGTCTAGAAACAATCATAAATTTGTGATGTTGCACAATTGTTTGAGTCATTGAGATGGTAGTGGCGACATTAATGATCTTTCTGCTCATGGTTCTGCAGTCAATCAGTGGCATTTGAGAAATTGTGCTGTCTAGTAGTGTTATTGGACGCAGTTCCCTGGTTTCATCCGTTATAATCTTTTTGGTTGGTGAAAGTTGCATATATGTGTATTAGCCTGGTTAGCAGTAACTCGTCTTCTAAATACTATGTGCTCTGTTTGGGAAATCTGGTAACTAAAGGATATGGTATAATAAAGGGATATGCAGAAACACTGCTTCTTTATACTTTTGTGTTACTTCTGGGGTAGTAGTTGTATTGAGATATGGGTTGTGGACTTCCTTGATTTACCATAGATTAACTTTATTGTTTCTCTTGAGCTCCATTTTTACTTGAAGGGCAATGTGTACAATATCTAGAGTCTTGATGTCTATTTGTATTTGGAGACCTTCTCATTGCAAGTATACCATTTATTGTGTCTGTAGATTTTGACATGTCAGAACCCCAACAGGAGCATGCCCTAACTGTTGAGCGCCTTGCCCCAAGGTTAGCTGCTCTCAGGATTGAACTCTGTCCGGGTTATATGAGTGAGGGCTGCTTTTGGAAGATTTACTTTGTCCTTCTGCACCCTAGACTGAGTAAAGAAGATGCTCTACTGCTGTCTACTCCACAGGTTTGCGTTCTCACTTCAAGCCATTGGCAGCATCTGGAAACGGGGGCATGGATTCTCAATTTGAACTAAGCAAGCTCAACCTAATGAAATTGGAACGAGGACCAATCAAATTGCTTTAGCCTTCTCGATTGCCTGCCGCTAACTTTGCAATAATTTTTCTTGTAGATAATGGAAGCTAGGGCAATGTTATCCCATGAACTACAGAAGAGAGCAAAGGCAAAGCCCAGTTCAAGTTTCTCTGAACGTAGTGCTTCAGTCATATCAAAAGAAGATGGTGGCAATTCATCCCAGGAAGTGTCTCTTTCAGTGCCCTCTCAACTCGAGTTTGGTTCAAGGAACGCTCCAGTTACAGAAGTGCCTTACAGTGATGTGGGTGGTGAAGCAGAAAAAGAGAAGCACCCAGTTCAAAGTATTGAGATCGAAATAGTCGACAAAGCTGTTGTTGTTGAGGAAGAAACTGTTCTCCCCCAGAACAATAAGCAACAGCCCAACCCATCTACTTCTAGTCCATCTCCTACTGCTGTGAATGATAAGTATGAGGACGATGGTGATGACTGGTTGAAAGATGAAAGTTCTGAAATGGTTGCTGGTGGTGCCAGTGGGACCGTAAAACATATTGAAGATGACGAGGATGTGTCATTTAGTGATCTTGAAGATGACGACGAAGGGGAAGTGCCTGTAACATACAAAAAAGTAACCACCTCAGATGGTTCAGCCAAAGATTCACGGGACTGGGTTGAGCTGATCAGTGGTTCAAGTGATTCGGTGAAGGATATTAGCCCTGTGGATGCAAAAAGTGGTGGCCCCGGACAGGCAAGTTCTCGACCCTCCGAGAACAGGGAAGCTAATGATTGGCTTGATGTGGAGGACATTGACGTGATTTGATTGATGAATGGGGATTATGTCTTAAGAAAGGTGAACCTTTTCTGCAAACTTTTTTTCTGCTGCTGTGAATATCCTGTCCTGTTGCATATGGTGACCTCTCTCTTCAGTCTGTTAGGCAAAGGGAAACTTCTCTACGTTTGTACATATACTCTGAACCTGAAGTTGGACGGTATGGTGCTCATGAAATGTGTATCTGTGCTGTGTAATAACTTTTACCATCCATGTATTTGCTGTTTCATTTCATTTTGTGAAATCATTTTAGTTGCTTGCCAATGGAGCCAATAGCTTCTCTCCATCGTTATGGCCGCTCCTCTATAACAAGTGTAGCAGGTAGGGATGGCAGTTCAACCCGGACCCGCGGGTACCCGGCCCGACCCAACCCGGTCAAACAGGGTAAAACCCGTGTTGACCGGGTTCGGGCCGGGTTCGGGTTTGAACCCGGTGGCTGGTTGGGCGGGTTGGGGCGGGTTCGGGTTTGGGGGAACCCGACCCGTGGATACCCGGCCACACCCCTAACCCTAAAATCCTAACAGCAGCTGACTACATTTTCCAATTACCCCTCATTTCCCAGACCAACAAACCCGCCGCCCCTCCAATTCTCTCTGAATCCACCCTCCGTCCCTCCCTTCCCGACGGTCGCCGACCGCCTACTCCTCCCGTCCCGCCGCCATCCCCCCTCTCCTCTCCGCGCCATTCCCACTCGCCTGACAATTGTCTTTCTTTGACCGGCGAGCAAGAAATAGATCTGGGCTTTGGTCCGCTTCCTCGTCCATCTTTCCCTTTCAATCCATCTTCTCCACTCGAGCTGTGCCGATTTTGTGTAAAGCGACGAGATCCAGAGCAATAAACCCTCAATTTCAGGCGCTGAAGATCGAAGAAACCTTGCGGGCAAGATATCCAGCACCCCGTCGAACACCGGCAGCCGCTGCTGCAGCGGCGCGTGGAGCGGCACTAGCCCCCTCATCGCCACCACCTCGCTGTTCGGCACGTTGAAGTTCATCGTCGTCGTCACCACCGTCACGTTGTACTGCTTCATCCTCGCCGCGAAGGTCCCCGTCCCGCCGCCGACGTCGATCCCCAGCCGGATCGGGGAGCTGGCGGTCTTGGAGATCTGAATCAGCTGCGGGATCGGGAGGTCGAGCTCGGTCTTGTAGGTCATGAATTTCGAGATCTCGGTCCCCAGATCGAACCCTAGCTTCGGATTCTCCTTCGCCAGGCAGGCGAACGACTTGCAGCTGTACTTCCCCCAGAGCACGTTGGAGTTGAGGAGGGAGGAAGGGAACGGGTTGCGCGGCAGGGAGGAAGGCAGCTTCGAGGGAGTTTTGGAGAAGCTCTGTTGCACAGCTTGAGAAAAAAACCTCATCTTCCTCTCTTACAAAAAAAAAAAAAAACCCACGGGTACCCGTCAACCCGCGGATACCCAGCGGGTTGGGTTGGGTTTGGGTTTTTCAAACCCAGCGGGTTTTACCCCGGGTTTTTTTGACGGACAAACCCGTGGGTTTGGGTTCGGGTTTGGCAAAACCCGCCCCAACCCGACCCATTGCCATCCCTAGTAGCAGGGTCTAGGATTCTGGTTTTGACGTCACTTGTGGTGACTGTTTCATTGGCTATTTCTAGGGAGCTGTTAGCGTGACTACCCTCTTAAGGGGGTTTGATTTTTGACACCCCTCTTAGATACCATCCATCTAATCCAATGGTAAGGATTAACCACATGTTTTTTTACATTAATTACATAATTAATTTCTCTCACCATATTGGAAAAGGGAAAGAATATGGAAAAAAACGATTCACACCCCCAATTTGAAACCCTTTTATTCTCCCCTTTTTTTTGTCTCCCTTTCATCTCCTCCTCTCTCCATCGATTCCCTCTTCCCCTGCGCCGTCGTCGCCTCTTCATCGTCACAATCCACATCTCCCTCCGGCTCCTCCCACATCCTCCGTCATGGGCTATGTCTTAGATGGTGATTGCCGTTGTTCTCCGAGCAACGCCAAGCTTGTTGTAACTCTCCATCTCCTTCCACAAGCTTGGCACTGTGAAGGGATTGACGGAGAAGACGATGACCCTCCTCACCTTCCCGGCAAAGATGACGACCCATCTCCCCTTCCTACACTGGCCATCCTCCTCTTCCCGGCGACGATGACGACGAAGAATCTGAGGTAGCTCTCTCTCCCACTATCTCTCTCTCTCTCTCATACCCAGATCTGGGTTTTTGGTGTCCAACTGGTATTGATACCAGTGAACTGGTAGTTTATGATTATACTCAGGGATCAAGAAGGCGCGCCTAGGCTCAATTAGGCTCTAGGCGGTGGAGGATCGCCTTGACTTGGCCATAGGCGTTGAAAAAGACGCTGGTAGCACTTAGTAGGTAGGAATAGCGCTTAGTTTGCGCCTAGTGGAGAGAAGGCGTGCCTGGGCGTTCCTAGGCGAGCTTAGGCGGTTAAACCCAATACTTTTCGTTTTGTCCTAGAAAATCAGAAACTTGCCTCTTGCCCTAGAAAATCAGAAACACGGGAAGTAACATCTGCTGCCGCCTGCCGCCCTAGCTCTTGCCCCATCTTCTACCGCCTACCGCCCTAGCTCTCGCCCCATTTGATGCTCTCTGCCGCCGCAGGAGAAAGTCATCGATCACTCTTCTCGCCTTCACACCGCTCCGCTGGTATAGTGGGAAATAAAGTCGAAACTCGTCAATTGCTGCTCCTTCCTTCTCCTCGGTACGTAGCACAAGCTTCTTGCCTCTATAAGCACCTATTAGCATATGATTGGTCACTATTTGCTTGTTATTTGTTATGTTAAGTGTTTACTGTTAAGAACTAGGCATTGCTAATTTTATATGCACTTGGATTATATGAATTATTCCAGAAAACAGGAAATATTGGAGAATTTTTCCATTTATGCTCTAAACGCCTAGGCGCGCCTAGGCTACACCTAATCGGGCAAGACGCAAGTCAGGAGCCGAGCGCCTGCCTTACGCCTAGCGCCTTTTACAACCTTGATTATACTCATATGTGAGTACTGGTAGTTTATCATTATCCTGGATTTTTCTATATTTGTGATTTTTTTAACTATTCCTTATCAGTCTAGTTTTTCTCTCTCATACCCACTAAGATCTGTTTTTTTCTTGTGGTAATGTTACCACTACAATGATAATTGTAGTGTTTGAGTTTTTGTTGAATGTTATCAATGTTAAACTTTTTATTCAAGTGGGATTTGTACCAGTGAAGTCATGTGTCTTACCAGTCTAGTGGTATTTCTACCAGTGAAGTGATATGCCTTACCAGTGCAGTGGTACTTCTTGCAGGTGCTCGGAGGGAGTCAGCAGGTGCAAAAATGTAATGCTAATTCTACCACTGTAGTGATAGTTGTCTTACTTATTGATTCGTATTTCTATCACTGCATTGATAGTGCTAATTATTGTCTACAGAACTGGCCAGGATGAAGAGACCATATCCTTGAGTGCCTAGAGGGAAGAGGCATGGAAGTTATGTGTTTTTGTAATGAAGAAAATGGGTTAGGTCAGGATCATTTCTCGAGTGCTGGTACCAGCAAGAAGCGATTTCGTGAAATCCAGGATAATGGACAACAAGTTAGGGGGAAGAGGAAACATACTTATTATCTTAGCGGCAAGAAGTGCAACCCCAACTCTATAATTCAAATTATGTTTTTCCATTGCATTACCCAAGTGACCCAGACATTCTTCGACACCTGATTTGTCGTTATTTAGGCGTCGCACAAACAATATCCTAGTGACTTCATTTTTGTTTATTACATTGGCTGGATATTATTTTTTATTTCCATTTCCCCTTTTTTAGAACACATTCTTCTCCGCGGTTAGTGGTGATACTAATGGAAAGTTGCTTGTTTGTTTACGTATCAGATTGGTTGTACATATATACTTTCAGTAGTAAACTTATCTGTTAAGTGGTTCATGTATCAGTGCAATGATATGTCTGTCAGTTCACTGGTATATCTATCAGTTCAGTGATACATGTACCATTTCAATGGTATCACTCCAAGGTATATCTAACACTACAATGAGAACATTTAGGATGAGTTTCGATTTTGCTAATGATACGAGTACATTATATCTAACACTGCAAGTGGGTGGTCACATTTTGGTGTGAAAAGTATGACTTGAATAGTTGCACGGTTACTTGTATCAGGTTACCACTTCAGTGGTACATGTATTAGTTCATTGGTATATGTACCAGATCAGTGGTACATGTTTATGTACCAAGTCAGTGGTACATGTTCACGACAGTGTTGTCGTTTGCCAGACGCTATAGGGTTGGACTTCACGACAGGGAGCGACAAAAAATGATGTGCGGTTCAGAGGAAAGAAAGATTATACTTGATTTCCCTTGGTTTAGACTTCCCACAAACAATTTCATAGTGACTTCATGTTTATTTGTTGCATTGGCTGGATATTTTATTATTGTTGGCATTTTTCTTTTTTATAACACATTCTACTCCACAATTAGTGGTGATACTAATGAGAAGTTGTTGGTTTGTTTACGTATCGAATTTGTTGTACATATATTTGTTCAGTGGTACGTGTATCTGTTCAGTGGTACATGTATCAGTTTACTGGTATATCAGTTAAGTGATACATGTATCATTTCAATGGTACCACTCAAAGTCTATCTAACACTAAAATGGGAACATTTAGGATGAGTTTCGATTTTGTACAGGTGCAATATATCTAACACTACAAGTGGATGGTCACATTTTGGTGTGGAAAGTATGGCTTGAATAGTTGCAATGGTACTTGTACCAGATTAGTGATACATATACCAGATCAGTGGTAGTTGTACCAGATCAGTGGTACATGCTCATGGGAGTGTCGCCGTCTCCCAGACGTTGTAGGGTTGCACTTCACGACAGGGAGCTGTAAGAAATGACCCGTCGCCGCCCTTCATGTTCTTCTTCATCTCCGACGGGTTCTCCGCAGACGAGAAACCCCCCAAGTGTTCTTCTTCACATTCTTCTTCATCTCCGCCGCCGCCCTTCATGTTCTTCTTTATCTCCGACGGGTTCTCTTTTGACGAGAAACCCCCTAGTTGTTCTTCTTCACGTTCTTCTTCATCTCCCCGCTGCCCTCATGTTATTCTTCTTCCCCTGTGTCTCGTCCTTCGGCAAAGAGCAACCCACCAGACAGGTCGAAGGCGATCCCACCGTCGGCGAGCAACTCGATGGTTTCCGGCCACCATCGATTTCTGAGAGGAGAGGGCCCCTTCAAGTTCTGTAGAGGAGAGGGATGAGTTGTTATTTTTTCGAGAGGGAATATGGGGAATATAGGAGTTAAAAAGGCACTTTCCTCCTCCAACGTTTTTCTCCTTCCCCATTCATAATTATTATCACAATTAAGACTTTCCCAATTTACAAGATTACAATAAATAAAATAAAAAGCAACTTTCATTAATACAACATACCAAATGATTAAATGGAAAAGTGACCAATCAAGAGGAGGGTGTAAAAAAACAGACAATTTAGAGGGTTAGCACAGTATCCTACCCCTATTTCTATCCACTTTGTAATGTTACAATCTGTTCCTAATTCACAGCAACGTGGTTTAGCCACAGCTCCTTAGGAATATCAGTAGTTAGTTGAGTCTCTCTAATGTATAAGTTTCGTTCATCAATAACACGAGACACTTTTTTCGACTAAATTGCAAGTATGGTCACTAGAATTACTTAACAAGTTTATGTTTGTCACTAAAATTAATTTATTTCATCCGTAATCACTTAAATTAGGCTAACAGTTCAAATTTGGTCACTGGCTGTTAGTCTCCGTTAACTTTTGCTGATGTGGCAGTCAACTCTTATAGTTGACCGTTAAATGAGACGAGTGACGTGATAATTAAAAAATAATAAAATAATAATAAATAAATATTTTTTATTTTCCAGCTAATTATTATAAATTAAAAAAAATAACAAATAACGATGAGGAACCTGGTCCCGCGGCCGCACGCCGTCGTACGGTCGTTGGCGGTGGCGAAGGTGGAGCAGCTGAGGAACCTGTTTATAACGACGAGGGCGTTGGCGGAGGCGAGGTGGCTGGTTGAGCACGGGAACAACTTACGAGTGCGCACTAGGGGTGGCAGTTTGGTTTCCGATTAGCGGCTAACCGGCCGGTTCAACCGATAACCGCCGGTTAGTAGCTAACCGAAAACCGACGGTTATTTGCCTCGGTCGGTGTTCGGTGGAATAAAGCTGGTTTTCAGCTAGCCGAGTAACCGAGGCTGATTAACCGCGGTTACCCGACTAACCGAACATAACCGACCAGCCATCATTTAAATAAAACCCCAACCCTAATTCTTCTTCGTACTCAAATCCCAGCCCTCTGTTCCTAAAAAAAAAAAAATCCCAGCCCTCCGCCATCCGAATCCCAACTCTGCCGACTACCGTTACCTTCGCCCTCCGCCATCCAAACCCCGGCCGCCCTCCTCGACGACCCCAACATCCGCGCGTCTCCCATCGACATCGCGCGGCTGCAACAGAAGAATCACCAATCCTCCGCCCAAGAATCGAATCAAAACCCTATTCGCCAAAACCCGAATTCCCTCCTCAATTCACGCCAATCCGCCGCAGGAACCCTCATTCTGGCGGGTTTCGATAATCCCATGGCCGGTGCTTTGGCCATCGTCAAGTACCACCAGATCGGAAGTTTGGATCGACAGGTTTAGAGAAGGAGAGAGAAAGAAGAAGTCAAAAAGAAGATAAGATTTTAGTGGTAGGGAGAGGAGAGAAGAAGAAGAGGTTTGGTTTGGAAGAAATAAATAAATAAATAATTTATCTGACAAGAGAGCAGAAAGTAACGTGGGTGGGGTGGGTATTGGGTTTTTTTTCTTCCTTTTCTTTCTTCTTTTTTTTTTATTAATAAATTTGGTTTTTGGTTATAACCGGACCAGAACCGAAAACCGGCCGGTCGGTGGTCGGCTAACCGCGTCTTATATCACGGTCGGTGGTCGATAGACAGGGGAGGCTCGGTTTAACCGAAAACCGATAATTCGGTTTTCTGTTAAACCGAAACCGACCGACTGCCACCCCTACTGTGCGCACCACATGTTGGCGTCGACGAGGGCGCTGCTGTTGCACTCGGAAAGCGGCGGCGCGAAGGAGTACGTGAGGGCGGTGGAGGGCAAGCTCGGGGAGCTTCACTGGAGGAAGCAGCAGGAGATAGAAGCGGCGTCGATGGTGATGTAGCAGCAGCGGATGAGGAGAGGAGGGGAGAGGGAGGCGGTGGTGATGAGTCATCGCTGTCACACCAGGCACCAATATATGCATAAATGCAATTATCCTAATTCTGAAACCCTAGAAAATTCACAAGCATGATTCAACTATCATCAATTACGGGAAAAGAAATTGAATTGCTTGAAGACGGAAACAATAAGGAGGCTCAGGGCATCAACGCGCTTAACATTACTCTCTTCGACGAGGATTTCCATAGCTTTCAGGCACAGAGCCTTGACTTCCGACTCCTTCAACGGCTCGCACCTCTTCATCGGCGGTGGTGAGTATGGGACAGCCTCCGCCAACGCCCTCGTCGTTATGAACAGGTTGCTCAGCCGCTCCACCTACGCCGTCGCCTCCGCCGACGACCGGACGACGGCATGCGGCCGCGGGACCAGCTTCCTCGTCGTTATTTGTTTTCTTTTTTTAATTTATAATAATTAGCTGGAAATAAAAATAATTATATTTTATTATTTTTCAATTGTCACGTCACTTATTTAACGGTCAACTATTAGAGTTGACCGTCACATCACCAAAAATTAACGGAGACTAACGGCCAGTGACCAAACTTAAATTGTTAACCTAATTTAAGTGACTACAGATGGACGAGAACCTGTTGTATAGGCAACTCAAATTATTTGTATAGGCAACTCAAATTATTCTATGCGAACATGTTGCATCTGAGTTTGTTGCGCTTCTCTTCGTGTGGACGAGAACCTTCTTTGAGGCACCTATTGATGAAAATTTTGTTGTAATTAGCATATTAAATGTATTTATTGAATATCAACGAACGTAACAAAACAACTCAAATTATTCAATACGAACCTGTATCAATCGAGGTTGTTGCATTTCTCCTTGTGTAGATGGGAACACCGAACAACCTTAGGGGCACCTGTTGATGAAAATTTTGTTGTAGTTAGCTTACTGACATATGAAACATACTTATTGAATATCAATGAATGTAACAAAGCAATTCTAATTATTCAATAAGAACATGTTTCATATGATATTGTTGTATTCCTCGTGCTCCTTCTATGTTGGCATGCTCAAACCTAGAAGGATCACGAGCGTTTTTCTTCTAGGTGGCCGACCATTTGCCTTTGTAGACACCCTAGGATCTCTAAGGCCTTCCTCTTTGGGGTAAAGCTGACTCATTAATAAAACTTTGGCTGCTCGAACTGCAGATGGACCACACCTACACACCTCAGTCAATAGATCATGGAAAATCCAAAGATCAGTGGTGTCTTCTTCTTCGAACTACCTTGCATCTTGAGAGTTAGCATAGTCCAAAGAAGATCGGAATGGTGCCAAGTGTGCTATCTGAAACTGGTCTCTCACTCCTTTAAATGAGTTGATTCGGCAACTGCATGGGAGCCCGCATGTCCTCCCAACCACACAATAACAATTTGATGGAGTCTTCTTTCCTACTGCAAACATAAACTTAATCGCATAGAGGCTTACATTTCTCCTTATAAAACTATCGGGAGGTCCATAGAACTCTTTGAATGTCTTCGTTTGACATGTCTCAAGCTCTTTCCTATTTTGATCACTTGCCCCCCAATGCTAGCATTCCATGATAAAAAATAGTGTATCAATCCTCCCAGTGGAAGTGTTTATCCAAGCTTTGAGAGTGGAGTGAGTCGATTCAACCCTGTTCGTACTTATGCTACCAATATGTAAAATATTGTTAGTATAAACACAAGCCCTCTTCTCTTTATGCTCTAACCACTATCGATCCAAGTATTCTATCAACTTACTAATTCTCCCCCAAACTCCAATACCTCAATCATAGCATGTGGCGTGATGGCTTCTTTTTATGCTCTATCCAATCTGTTATGGGACAATCAAAGTATCACATCTGAAATACAAGGGAAGGAACCCTTGTATATTAGTGTTCAGCAAGATCATTAGTGCGACGCATTTTGGGAAGCATACCCAAAAGTAAAAGCATGCGGGCTTGGCCCAAAGTGGACCATATTGTACTAATGGAGTTGTCCGATTTTGACAAGTGGTATCAGAGCCTTGTTCGGTTCGGGCCAAAGGATGTGAGTTTGGTGGACCCTCATTCTCTAACCTCGGGATTTAAGATATGTGTCTGTTTGGTGGATGCGAGGAAAGATCCACGTTTGTTTGGCAGATCAAAAGGTGATATGCATTTGGGAAATCCTTGTCTTGAAGAGCCTGTAGATACAACGTGTCTGGCGGATCATCACAATCGTTGAGGAGAGGATACAAAGTTCGTGGTCCTTGTCTTGAGGGGATGATTGTTATGGGACAATCCAAGTACCACATCAGAAATGCAAGGGAAGAAATCCTTGTATATTAGTCTCCACCAAGCTCACTAGTACGAGGCCATTTGGGAACTATACCCAAAAGTAAAATCGTACGGGCTTGGCCAATTTTGACACAATCATTTCTCCTTTTCAGTTAGAATCGCATTCGGTATGTGATCTCCTAGCATGTTCTATAGGGCACTCAAAAGCCAAACATAAGACTTTGTGGTTTCCCCCTCCATCATAGCAAACACAGTGTTGAAGTTCCTCTTGATGAGGGAAACACCAATAACCTTAACTAGGGGCCTCTTGTACTTGTTCGTCTTGTATGTGGAATCAATCAAGATTACATGGTACCAAGCACTCAACATTCGAACTGACCCAGGGCGAGCAAGAAAAAGGTGAGTAATGTGTTGATCATCAACATGCTTCTAGCCAATGTAGTACCACATCTCTCTGGCATGTTGTAACGTCCAATCCAAAGGGGTCAAGTCATCTAATCACTTAATCCTTATCTTTGTCGTCGCATTGTAAAACTATTGTTTGGTTTGGTGAGTGCTATAGTTTTTATTGTTAGTTTGCATCATTTGTCGGGAAGGAACACTAGCACATTCCATCTCCTTTATATCTTTTAGCTCTCCATTGGTTAAAGAATTCCTTTGAGTGTGACTTTCCGGATAAAGCTCCAATGCATGGTGTAAAACCTATAAATTCTCTAGGATTGTGATTGTCCTTGACATCCCTAATCATCCAAGCTTCATCCTCCGGAAGTGCCACCAGCTTCAGTAAAAAATGATAACCATCTTTAAGAGACTTTGTGTCGGATTGTTTATTCTTATCCGGATACGGGACATATACATTGCTCGTATATCCACGATGACAATGAAGATTATTCTAGGGTACAATTTCCCATCGTTTCATTTGGTTGATGAATGTATCAAAAAGAATCCAAGATCTTTTGCATTCACTTTCTCGGCTTCTATAACTTGTTGTCTCGTCGTCCCACAAGAATTGACATTGTCGGCGGTCGATGGTCGAAGGCATGCGACGGTGGTCGGATGTGGAAAATGTCGGACAACAACGGTGCAGACTGGAGACGGTCGCCAGTGACGGGAATTGTTGTCCGTCGAAAGGAACAATGGCCGGCGATAGGGGATTCGGTGGCTTACGACAGGGTCGGCAAAGGATGCGGTGGCCGACGGTAGGGGTGCAGTGGCAGGCTGCGATGGTATTGTTGCCAGTGGCAAAATTAAATGAAAGTTTGTTTGGTGAAAGGTGTTTGAATTTGTTTAGTCTTGAATTGCGTGTATTGAGTGTATTTACAAGTAAGGGCTATTTATGTATATTTTTCAAGGTTTAGAAAATCGTACCGGCCGGTCGGATCGGAAATATCGGATACTGGGCCCAAAACGGTAGCCAGTTTTAGCAGTAGGCACTGGTTCAATTATAGTTAAACCACGATTTTATTACAAAATACCATATCACTCACTTTTTCCGGTATAACCTCCTGTACGGCTTTCTAAACCTTGATATTCTTTTATCTAGGGCTCGAAATAAGATTTTTGTAAGACTACAAATAGCACCCCATAATGAATGGTATGAACATGATCAATTAGTTCTTACTTGGATTATTCTCTCTTTGTTTGAAGCAATCATGTCAAACGTCAGCTTACTGGGAGACTTTGGCTCGCGTGTATGGGATATGCAACCAAATGGAAAATGGTACATAAACAATCCCACACTAACTGATGTATTCCCTAAATTTTGCCTAAGAGGATGTTTCTCTCTCCTAGGTCAAGAACAAGCAAAGATTACTCACATTAAAGTAAGAGATTGACATGAATAACATCGATTAGACATAGATATATAGGTTCACAATCATCCTTGCATATGACCCATAACAATATACAAGCTAGAGTTCATCTTCCTAAACAAGAAGAGAAGCTAAAACATATATATAAATAGAGAGAGTGTGTGTAAAAATGGGAAGAAGATGACAACTCCATGGCTATATCCTTCTTCTTTTTGCTTTGATCACCCTTCTTGAATCTTGGGAGGTTTTGGGGTTATGATGAAAAAGGTATCACCCAAAACCTCTCCAAGCTCATGACTCTCACTCTACATCTTCTCATAATATGTTTTTCTCTCTCTCGGATGTCCCCCTTTGATCAAAAAAACCCCATTTTATTTGTAGACCCGCACAGGTCAAAGTTCACGACCTAGAGTTTGTTGTCGTGAACTTTGAGAAGAGGTTGTGAATTTTTTATGGGAAGAGAAAGTTTGCAGCTTGGACTCAAGAGTTCGCGGCCGTGAAATTTGAAAGGAGGCCGCGAACTATTAGGAAACATAAGTTCGCAGCTTTAGTTCAAGAGTTTCCAGACTAGATCTTCTAGTCGCTAGGTGGTGAACTCATGGGAGAAGTTCTCGTCGCTCGTGAAATTTTCTCGCGGTCCAGCTCACCTTGGTCGTGTGGCAGGTCGCGTGACCTTATGTACTCATCATGGATGCCCTCTCGGAGTTTGCGTGTTTGAGGAAAATTTCTCGGCCATGTTCTTCTGCCCCCCGGCCAGGAACTATGTTAGGCCTCGCTTTCCACCTTCTTTTCACCCGTCAAACGACTTTCGATTGGCACAAAACTTGGCGTGCCTCTTCCTTATCGTACTAGGACCTAAAATTAAAAAATAAAACATAGCCTATCCTAGAAAAGGATGAGAATGAACAAGATTTATATCAAATTCATGCCAAATTGCCAAGTAATGACAAAAACATGCTAAATCTTAGGATCTTGACAATAGGAAGCAAATATAGCATGGAATCGATCTCAACTGTCCAAAGGTGATGATTATTGCATGAAGACACCTTTGAAATGAGGACTAAATAACACCAACTTTAGGTGTTATTAATTTCCTATGTGGATCCATAGTCGGACACAAGCCTTGGTGCTCCAAATCTGGTTAAAAGTCTTTGAAGAAATTGAACCACTAGTCTAGCATCATTGGTTGGTAGTGCTAATGCTTATGCCCATTTGCAGACATAATTTACTGCCACGAGGATATATATTTTCCAAATGAGGATGAGAATGGTCTCATGAAGTCAATACCCCATACATTGAAAACGTCAACGGGTAGTCGGGTAGGAATATATTTTGGGGCATTTCATTTCTTCTTGTAACGGTTCCTAGTCTTTGGCATGCATCACAATGTTTGGCATAAAGGTTGAAATCTTGAAAAATAGTTTTACGGATTAATCCACTTTTTGGTATCACTCTTGTTGTTTGGTTACCACAATGATGTCCTTTTGTAGGTCCTGAATGGCAGTGACTTTTGATATATGTTGATTCTTTCAAGGAGACACATATTCGAATGATATTGTCAGACCCAATCCACTTTTGAGTATTACTATTGTTGTTTGGTTACCACTATGGTGTCCTTCTGCAGGTCCTGAATGGCAGTGACTTTTGATATCTATTGATTCTTTGAGGATACACTAACTCGAATGATATTGTCAGACCCAATTCGATACAATAAGGGGCTTTCTCAAAAAGTAATACTTGAGGTCTGCAAATATTTTCTTATTTTCTTAGTAGGTTAATCCATCAGGGAGTTCGCTAATGCATATATAATTGGCTATGTCTGCAGGTCCTTTATCAGTCTCGAGAGCAATGGTTTTATCTTTTAAATGGTTTTCATTGTGTTTCTTGTCATTCGAACACTAGAAGAATTAAGATAGCTACTCATGTAGTGGCAAAAGAACTCTTTCATATGTAGATCAGTTTGTTATCTATTTTTTTAATTATTATCTAGTTATAGACGGTCACATTTGATTATTTTTTTATAAATAATACCTTGATGCTATAATTAATTAGTAGGGGACGCATTACATTGTTATAAGAACCGAATAGTACCAACGGTTAGACTAGTAAAATCAATAAACCAGTTACAATAACAATCGAGTTCTTTTACTTGGATGGTTTGGGATGGACCGAATGGTTAGACATGAAATCAAAAAATTATGAATTTTTATAAACTATCCAACCTAAATCGCTAATTTTATTTCTACTTCATTTTTTTTCCTAGCCTTCTTGTTGGCTTTGTGTGGCCCACTATGAACTGTTAGCTTAGTTACTAACTTGAATTTAATAAAAAAAATTATGATTTCTTTTGGAAGATAGTTTGAATGATTTGTTACAACTTTTGGTGACAGATGACATGAATTTGATATTTTCATGGTTAAAGTGATAAATTTAGTCCTAAATTAGTATATTATACATATCGTTTATGTAATAACTCATGAACTGTTCTATCATTGGTTGAACAACAGTTCTATAACAGTAAAGGTTGTCAAACCGGTTTATACTGTTGAGCCGGTTTAGCAAGTGGAATGGTTCGACTACTGATACAACCGGTTATGTCGGTTTAACAAAATGTGTAGAAATGTGAAAACCATAAAAATCAATTGAATTAAATCATATTAATATTTAAATAAAATTTACTTAGAATTCATATTCATATTTAAATAACTTACAACATTCCAAATACAATAACAAATACTTATATTTAAATACATAGTTTAATATCAATACCTAAATCTTTATACTTAAATTAAACAAAAACACTGATATTTAACTTTTAAAGTCAGAAAATAAATAATAAATTAATTATTCATGAATTAAATGCAATAAAATAACATCATTTTGCTTAGATATCGTAAATCGATCACGCCGGTTATACTGGTAGTATTCACGTCGGTTTCATTACCAAAATTGGTTGAACCAAATTCAACCAGCCTGAATTTCACCGGCATGACAACATGAATAACAGTTAACCACTGAATCATGAATCACTAACTTTTCCAGTTGAACATCCCATCTAAACAAAAATTACAATCCGGTGATATTTGTGATATAAAAAATGCAAAGTGATTTTGCAAACCACTTCTCACTCCTCCCATCTACAATCAATATGGACATCTAGATCTAATTTATTGCCCTTCTCCCATAAATCCCCACCCACATTTCCCCATTTGCATTGCACTTCTTTAATGGGTTATCTTTGGTATAAAAAAAATACAATAAATAAATATATTCGATAAAATAAATAAAAAATATGAAATATCCAAGACACAAGGGGAAAGTCATTATAAGCTTATCCACTGGAAAACCCTCCAATCTTCATCCATTTAACTGACCCCCACCCCACCACCAATTCTATAAAATTATGAGCAAAGCAAAACTGGAAAACGCCAGAAACCCCAAAATTTCCTGCACGAGACGCCTCTTTTCTTTCGCTCTTTCCCACTCTGCACAGCACACTAACCGCCTCCCTCCTCGCGTCACCATTTCCCTCTCCTCTCGATCCTTCCTTCCCCTGCCATTCTAATTTCTCACACTTCCTTTTTCTTCGTCATCCAATCCCCCATATCTCTGGTTTCCCTTCCATTTCACTTCTTCTTTCCTCCCCTTTTTCCATACGTGCGGAATCCCAGTTCCCCTGTCTGCCGTGAGAAAAGAAAAGAACAGAAAAGGCAGAATGAAAACCCGTCGGTGCAAAAAGAAAACAGAGATCGAAACTGTCACTCAACAACGACCACAAGATCCGTTTGCTTCTGAACTCACAATTCTCCGCTTCACTTGACCATCCATCTCTTTCCAATTTTCTTTCCTTATAATTTCAGAGATTTTTGTCGATCTCCCTCAGTCGGTTAAGATTGGTTTATTCGTTCCATCTCCTTCGCCATGGACCTGAGCTTGGTCAAGAAAACGGGCCTCCTCAACTACACTCGCAAAAACAAGAACTGGGTTCTTCTCCTGGCGGCACTGGGTTTCTCTTCCTACGGCGCGTACAAAGTCTACAACTCGCCCTCCATCTCCATGAGGCGCAGAAGATTGCTCAGGCTTCTCGGAGCTTTCCTCTCCATGGGCGATGCAATCTCCAATTCCGCCGAGACAATCAGCGTCGTCTCCAACGAATTCAAGGACTTCATCAAATCGGAGTCCGACCGAGTCCCCAACAGCATGAATCAGATGTCGAAACTCTCCAGGTCAAACGAATTCTCCGAATCGGTCGTCATTTTCACGAAAGCCCTAACCGTCGGCATCTTGACCGGATACCAACCCACTTCCAATTCAGGTCCAGGATTCATGGACAGCGTAATCGACAAGCTCGCAACTCCATCTGGGTCGGGCTTCGTTTCGGCAATCGTCGGCAGCTTCGCCCGAAATCTGGTCGCGGCCTATTACGAGTGCTCTTCAGAACAGGGGAGCGGCGGCTCTGCTTCAGAATTGATGGAATTGCTCTGCAGCCCCAAAAGTAAAGACCTTATCGCCGACTGCACTCAGCTGTTCGTCAGCACCGCCGTCGCGGTTTACCTCGACAAGACGCTCCACATCAACTCTTACGATCAATTGTTTGCTGGGTTGACAAATCCGAAGCACGAGGACCATGTCAAGGATCTGATGGTTTCGGTCAGCAATTCGGCAGTTGCGACTCTGGTGAAGTCCTCCCATGCCGCTTTGACGGCGGAACCCAAGTGGAAGTCGTCGCGGCGGAAGTCATCGGCGGAGGGGGAAAGTGGAGACAATTGGGTGGGGAAGATGTCGTCGACGCTGGCGGTGCCGAGCAACAGGAAGCTGGTGGTGGATGTGAGTGGGAAAGTGGTGTTCGAGGCGGTGAGGTCTCTGCTGGAGTTTGTGGTGGAGAGGCTGCGGGAATGCGTAGGCGCTGTTCATCAGGCAGTTGTGGAGAATGGGTTTGAAGCTGCCAGATTCGTGACGGCGAAATCGTATGCTGTGACGGATTTGTGCCTCTCTTTGTGCTTGAGTGTGCTGGATTCTGTGACTTGGATTCTGGTACCGGTGTGATGGCTGCGAATTTGGCTTTGTATAAAGATACGCTTGTTGTATTCCGTCTCATGTTGTTTCATTCAGATGCCAAGAAAAGAAACTGTTAATTTGGTTGATCAGTGGAGAAAATCTGCCTAAGTTTGGTATAAGGTCTTTTAGAAATGTCATAAAACGACTTGTATAGTTGATTCTTTTCTTGTAAAATGATTAGATCGTCAGAAAATACCACTTTGTAAGGACACTTTTTTACTCTCTGATTAAAATGATGACCTTTCGAGTATTAAACATGGTTGAACTATTTGAAGATTTTAAATAAGGCTTAAACAACAATAATCTCGTTAATTATTGTCAAGGAAGAATCTAAAGTGATACGAGCTGGAATAACAAGTTATAACAATTTCTTACAATCGACACTAAATTTCGGATGAAGGAGACTGATAGCTCCCGACCTACAATCCTCTTGAATGAGCATCAGTTTGAGATAGTGAAGGCCTGCTACTCATTTGGCTTCCTGTCCATAGAAAGCCAAATCCGGATGCCACAGGAGCAGTTGGAAGGTGACGAGTAGCTGCAGCATTAGAGAGGGTAAGTTCTGAAACTACATGCTCAATAAAAGCCGCAGTTGGGTCTATCCCATCAGCAAGTATTTAATGACAAAACAATTGTCTGAATTCTCAGTGATTCGAGAACAATGCACCAACGGTGGGAAGAAAGTAAAACCATTTCAGGGATTTATCCATCAGAAGAGTTGATGAGCTTATTTTACAATATCCTTTGACATGTACATCTCCATAGAGATCGGTTACACAGCAATTCTGCTTCAGAGTTGGCAGGTAATCGTCACTTTTTGCCGTAGAGGGAAGATAGCAGAGAAACTAGGGTGCAAGTTGACTGTCTTCGGTTGAACGATGGGATTGCAGTGTATAAAGTCTACATGTACATCTCCGCCCCTTGGACCACGAAAATGGAGGCAAAAGAAAAGGTGCGAAAGTTCACACGAGAAGCGTAAAGATGAAAATCTAGTAAGGTCTTAGGAACTCTGCCTGCAGTAGAGATTGTAATAATGAGAGGAGCAATGAGCCTATATGAAACTGTGCAAACCTGTCTTCACCAAGCAGTCTGGAGAACGATTCCCACTCCTACTATATAAAAACGGGAACAGATGAAAATGCAAGTGATAGGGTGGTGAAGACTGGTTAGAACTGTTATTCACTGCTCGAGTTTTCGTTGGTCTCTTTAGCAGCAGCAGCAGTTGCTGCCTCTTCTTGAAGCTTCTTTTTCCAGTACTCATCAAGTGGTTGGCCAAATATTGCCTTCCCAGAAACAACTCCAACGCTGCAGATAGATACACCAAGCCATCAAATCGTTAAAAAACGAAATCCAAGATAACCCCAAATTCAGAATCTCAATCATCAAATGATATGATAATCCCAAACAGAAACCACAAACTAGTCCAAGAACAAGGCTTTTCCAAAGAACAGCACCCTTCAACATTGAAATTGATGTGCAAAAGGAATGCATCTGAAACAAAATCAAAAACAAAAACCACCAAAGCCCGACTCTTTGTTAAACTCTACTGAACATCTACAAGTTATAGAAAGCACCCAACTCAACAATGAGGTCTAATAACTTCGAAACCGGTCTCCTCGCATTCCAGCATCAGCAAACATTTCAGGAAATCAATCTTTCATTGTGATTGTTCTTCAACCAGTGGGCAGACAATTAACTGCTGAAGCCAAACTAGGTTTGCAAACCCTTTTGCATCGATTCTAAGATAAGCCCTATCAAGACAGAGCTGTGTCTACTCTTATTCTGCAGCCCGTAGCCCAGCGGTTTCAGCTATTTCTGTTACCTGGTTGGTTCATGTTCCTGGGGAATTCCTTCCCTGTTGTTTTCCATTTCCGCGTTGTCCCTTTCTTCTCTCATGGATATAAATTTCGTGTATCCCCTTCAATCAAATTTTCTACTCAGCATTAAACATAGTAAAAAAAGAGAACACGATAGAGAGTTCATAACTAGCACCGAACACTCAAAAGAAATAAGCCCGAGAAATTTCGCAGCCAAAACCCCAGAAACCCATTGCGATGAACAACGGAAGCAGAAAGAAATGAGGTTTTTCGAACGCAAGAAACGAAACCCAGAAGGGGTACACTGGGGGGAACTTACATTACTGCTCCAATCACCAAAGGGAACGAAAGAAACCTGCTCCTGCGGGAGAACATCTCCGCTAACGCCTGGTTACTTATGAGTTTTCCCCTAAACCCCTGAAAAATCGAACAATTGCTTTGTACAAAATCCCAGATCTCGTCTCCCAGTTGTTTTCTGCTTTTAGTTGAATCTCCTAATCGTTTCCTTGCTTTGATAGGCACCTATTTTAGAGTTTAGGTTTGCTGTAGCCCACCAATCCATGATGTGGGCTGGGCTCAACTTCGATGGATTAATACTCAATATGCAAGTTTCGCCTAAAATCCAATCCAGCTATAATCCTAGTAATTGTTTTTGATAATATCACCAAAAATATCAATCTTTACGTTTGATATAAATGAATTCCATAATTTTTGAGAAATTCATTTTGAAATGAAACATTTTTTGTTTGGTATTGAAAAGAATTCATTCACAATTCTAAGTACAATTCTAAATTTTAAATTCTATGGAATTGGAGCTAGTTATAACAATTCCGAAGAATTGAGATGGAATTTTCAAATGAATTCCACAAGTATTTACTAACGATAATAGAATGACATAATTATCCTCTTTTATTAACTTAACTTATACATATACATACCAAACACAGGAATTCATTCTCTACATGGCAATTCATTTTATTTCTAAAGATTTGAATATGGCATACCAAACACAAGATTTCATTTGACAATGGATTCTATACCGTAATTCACTGTACAATGAAATGAATCCTCGATTCATTTGGTACCAAACGGTCTGTTAACAAAATTGTCATTTGTATTCCATAATTTTCAATAGGGGTGGCTATACGGTCCGGTCTGGTTAAATTGACCCGAATTGATACGGTCCCGGTCTGGTCTTTTCGGGAATATAAGGACCAAAAATTGGATTGGATACAGTCCGATCTTGATTCGGTCCAGTCCCAATTCGGTCTTGATTTTAGATTGACCTTGTGGAAATTTGAGTGGCATGAGACCTCAAAAGGTGAGGAGTTGGTTAAGTTTGGGTGTTGGCTTCTCTTATCCGGTCTTTATCCAGTTTTCGATCCGGTCCCAAACGATTTTTTACCTCAAATCTAAGCCCGAAGATGAGATTGAATTTTTTGCTATCCGATTCCGGTCCAATCTCGGTCCGAATTATACAGCCCGGTTTCGGATAAACCCCAAAAGCCCGAACCAAATAACCAGCCCTAATTTTCAATGTCATTTGTGTATCAAATCGTCTCTTTCATTAGTTGCACCATTATGTATAATGGTATTACCTGTCAACGCCCAATCAGGATTTTTATTACTTGTTCCTATTTATTATTGTGGGATTGAGCCTTGTGTAAACTCTGAGTATTGTGATGATAGAGAGTCAGAAAAACAGATTGTGTTTAATGACTCCCTAGAATTTGAACTGAAATGATACTTTTATTTAAATGGAAAAATTCAGTACAACGAAACTTAGCCAAGCCAAGTAACTTGGCTCTTTCGAACAAAGAAGGAAAACACTCAAAGCGCTCACTCCCCAAGATTGAATCACCCAGTACAAACTTATACACTGTGATTCTATCTACCAGAGTAAGTTCACCCTTCGATCCAAATTGAATGAGATTCAAAACCCATAAATTCTCACAATTCCCTATCGAAGTACACTTAAAACACGCTGAAGAGCTTACAATTTATACCGAGAAGAAGAAGAGACCGTTGCCTAGAGAGGAGCCTTCCTATAGCCTGCATAATGCCTTTCTCATAGAGCTGGTGCGAGGTGGAGCGATTTGCAGAAAAGATAGAGATGTTGAGAGGAAGAAGTCGAACGAGATGGCTGATCAGAAATCAGCAATCGAGGAGTCCAGTTTGACTTTGAAGGATGATTCTTAGGATAAAACGATGTCACTTTAGAAGATGGGCAAAACGTCGTCGAAGTGCTCCAGAGAGCAAGGCCGTTTTGTTCAACAATTTCCCCCTTCATCCGAGAAGTCACCTGCAAAAACAAAAACAACACCAGACGACAGCAGCACAGGCAATCCAGAGAAAAGCAGAGAACTTCATTCATAGGAAAGCAGAATTACAGCAAGACTAAGTCCAAGTAAAGGACCAACAAAACATCAGGACATCATCCTGAGCAAAATTCCCCCTAAGCAAAATACCCTAATAACTAAAACAACAAATCCTACCAACAGGATAACTAAAACAGCAGAACAACAGAGAGAAAGTTAGGAGGCAGGAGAGGAGGCAGGAGCAGTTGCAGCTGATTCATCTGACGAGGAGTCTCCCTCAGAAATGGTGAAGACCAAGTCACCAGTTTTGCTAGGTTCACCAGCAGACTTGGTTTTCTTGATGCCAGAGGGCTTAGGAGGAGGCCCGAGGAGAGAAGTAGAAGGTTGAGGAGGAGGGGAGATGTCAGTGGGAAGGTCCAGGACCATCAGTACATTGAGTGCACTGATGTACATAGTGGATGAGACGCTCCTAAACTCAGAAAGATCTACACCGAGGTTGATCAGTAGACGAGTGATTAGCGACCCAAATGGTACTAATCCTCTGTAATTTTCATCCCCAACAGGCAGCAGTTGTCCAAACACAATGCTCGAATAATCCAGCTTTCGTCGAGCAGTAGCACTTGCAATAATCCATAAGTCCATATGAAGGACTCGGTCTTGGTTGAAGGATCTGGGAAAGAGGACATGGGTGAGGAAATGATGAAAGATCCTCAGCCTTGGGGGTAGCCAGCACACTGGAATAGGAATGTCTGAGCCTCCAGTTGGCTCGGTTGAGAAGTTTCCATATTCCACCTCAACTTTGAACTCATGCTTCCAGAATTCAGAAGGATGAGCGACCCCAAGCCCTTGCGATGGAAAGCCTAAGATACCATTTAGGGCTTCAACTGGTATGGTCAAGAGATGACCATATACCAGAGTGGTAAAACTTCTAGAGCTGATTCCAGGACTTTTGAGATTTGAGTAAAAGTATTTGACTGCACCAGGACAGGCAGGGTGCACTGGTTGGAGAAGAAGAAAATCCCAACCAAGACCTTCAATAAGGGACACAATATCATATTTGTAGAGGTTGAATTCATAGGGGTCGAGCTGAGTGGTATGATGAAGCCTTCGCTTATCGAAGTGCTGAAGGTAGCGATGGTGGTTAACAACTAAAGGCTCATGAAACATGTAGCCAGAAAATGTGTGTACCAGACCATCAAAACGGAAGGGTCGAGGAAGGTGATCACTCATTTTGTGGGTAAACTGGGTGTTTGTGGAAACAAAATGGTAAGTGGATGTGTTTAGAGACAGTGTGAGAAGAAGAGATGTCACTGTTCCCTTTTATAGAGGAGACTGGGGTCGAGAAGGCCTGGAAGGCGAAGAGTCTCAGCAGACTAATGTTAGAAGGAATGATTAAGCTAAAGTAAGATTGTGTTAGTCGAGGCAGGCATGAGCCGAAACGGAGCGTCTTTGCTTTGATTAAAACAAGACACGCAAAAGATACCTTGAGCAAAAGATCCAATCAGCTCGCTGAAGGTTAGATTTTAGGTTTAGAGGTTTGTAATCATTTCTTTCTGCACCAATGCATGTAATGCAAGAAACGACGAACTGTTCTTTTTAAAGATCTTCAATTCGACTCAAGGATCTTAATCCTATTTCTGTGCAGAGTTGGAGAAATCTTTCACTTGCCAAGGGTTTTGTTAATAAATCAGCTAGTTGAAATTCAGTTTCAACAAATTGAAGTTCGATGTGACCAGCCTGAACAAGCTCCCTGATAAAATGATACTTAATCTCAATGTGTTTAGTTCTAGAATGTTGGACAGGATTCTTTGTCATACTTATCGTACTTGTATTGTCACAGCATACTTGAATATTGTTTAATTTAAAACCATAGTCTGAGAGTTGAGCTTTCATCCACATTATTTGTGCACAACAACTTCCAGCAGCCATATATTCTGCCTCGGCTGTGGAAAGTGCTACTGCACCTTGCTTTTTACTAAACCAGGATACAAGTGATGAACCAAGTAGTTGAATTGTTCCAGTTGTGCTTTTTCTATCCACTAGACTTCCCCCAAAGTCTGAGTCACTGGACCCAATTAATTCGAATGAATCAGTTACAGGGTACCATAGTCCAATATCTATGGTTCCCTTTAGGTACCTAAAGATCCTTTTAACAGCTTTGAAGTGGCTTTCTCTTGGTTTGGATTGAAAACGTGCACACAGGCCTACACTAAATTGAATGTCAGGTCGACTTGCTGTTAAGTACAAGAGCGAACCTATCATCCCTCTGTATTTCTTTTCACAGAAAGGAATACCTCCCTCATCCTTGTCTAGTTTCAAGTTTGTAGCCATAGGGGTTGTACTAGGATTTACTGAGCACATGTCAAATTTCTTAAGCATTGATTCAGTGTAATTTGTCTGACTAATGAATATTCCTGAGTCTAATTGCTTAATTTGTAACCCCAGAAAGTGAGATAGCTCACCCATCATGCTCATCTCAAACTCAGACTTCATTAAGTTACTGAACTTAGTACTCATAGTTGGATTTGTAGATCCAAAAACTATGTCATCTACGTAGATTTGCACAATTAGTGTATCACCATTCTCTTTCTTAATAAAAAGTGTTTTATCAACATTTCCTTGAGTGAAACCTTCTGTTTTTAGAAATGATGAGAGTTTTTCAAACCATGCTCTGGGGGCTTGCTTTAATCCATAAAGGGCCTTAGACAGTTTGTACACATGATCAGGGTGTTTATGATCAACAAAACCTGGTGGCTGACTCACGTATACTTCTTCCTTTAATTCTCCATTTAAAAATGCACTCTTTACGTCCATTTGGTATAAGGGAATTTTCATGAAACATGCATACGCACATAACATCCTAATTGATTCGATCCTTGCAACAGGGGCAAATGATTCTTCAAAATCAATTCCCTCTTCTTGCAAGTATCCTTGAGCAACAAGTCTTGCTTTGTTTTTAGTGATTTCCCCTTCTTCATTAGTTTTGTTTCTAAAAACCCATTTTGTTCCTATGATCAGTTTAATTAGTGGGCGAGGGACAAGTTCCCATACTTGTAACCTAGCAAACTGGACAAGTTCCTCTTGCATAGCATCTAACCATTTATCATCTAAAAGAGCTTCTTTATAATTTCTTAGTTCAATCATTGAAACGAGAGCATACTGACCTGGCTGGTACTTACCTCTGGTGTGAATCCCAGCATTGAGTTGTCCAATGATTTGTGAAGGTGGGTGTCTCTTTTGGATGTGTGGAGGTGCCTGTCTTTCTTCTTCAATCTTCTCATCACCCACTGTCTCACTTTTGCTCCTTTTAATTGATTCTGGTGGAGACTCCTCAAGTTGATCTTCAGGCTTTTCTTCTTCATTTGATATAGGAAACAACAGATCTATACTTTCTGCAGAGACTTTGTTAGAGCTCCCAGATTCATCAAACTTAACAAATACAGACTCCTCAACTCTTTTGGACCTTAGATTATAGATTCTGTAAGCCTGTCCTTTAAGAGAGTATCCCAGAAATATACCTTCATCAGACTTTGAATCAAATTTATACAAGTGATCTTTGGTATTTAAAACAAAACATTTACATCCAAAAGGATGAAAGTACCCCAAATTGGGCGTTTTTTGTTTTAGAATCTCATAGGGCGTTTTGTTAATGATTTTTCTGATCAAGACCCTATTAATTACATACACAGCAGTCATGACTGCTTCTCCCCAAAGAAACTTGGGTGTTCCATATTCAAGTAACATTGTTCTTGCTGTTTCTATAATAGTCCTATTCTTTCTTTCAACTACACCATTCTGTTGTGGTGTTCTAGGTGCTGAAAATGTGTGATTAATGCCTTTGTCATTACATAGCTCACTAAACTGATCAGAAATGAATTCCCCTCCGTTATCACTTCTAATCGTTTTGATCCCATTCTTGGATTCATTTAATATGAGGTTTACAAAGCTTTTGAAACAGCAAAAGGTTTCATCTTTTGATGCAAGAAGATAAACCCAAGTATATCTAGAAAAATCATCTACTAGAACAAGGGCATAGGATTTACCTCCTAAACTTACTACATTGGTTGGTCCAAATAGGTCCATGTGAATTAGCTCATAAGGTTCTGAGGTAGTGATGTCCTTTTTCAGTTTAAAACTCTTTTTAACCAGTTTTCCTCCAACACAAGCATCACAGAAAAACTTTGAATTTTCTTTCAACAAAGGAATTCCACGAGCTGATTCAGATCTAGAGAGTTTTGATAGTTTGGAAAGACTTATGTGACCTAGCTTCCTATGCCATAACATTTCCAGGTCACTCTGTTTAGCTTGAAAACATGTTTCATTAAACGAGCTTAGGCAGTTTAAGTCGACCACATACATATTATCTTTCTTAGTTCCACTAAACAGCAACTTGTTGCCCTTTATTCTAATGATTTCACACGAAGACGACTCAAACACAACTTTGTTTTCAGAGTTGCATAATTGACTGATAGATAAAAGATTGTGCTTAAGACCCTTAACAAACAACACATCTTTAATAGTGGGAAGGGAACTCTTACCAATTGTCCCATTTCCCATAATAATTCCTACATGATCATCACCAAATACGACCTTACCTCCCCTTTTGTAGCTTAAATAAGAGAAGAGTTCCTTTTTACCTGTCATGTGGTGGGAGCAACCACTATCAAGATACCATGTGTTCTCATTTTCTCCCTCATTCTGCAATCAATCACATATGAGTGCATTTTGGTATCCAAAATGTTTTGGATACACTTGTTTTTCTGGGATTTAGATCATAACAGAATTTTGCTACATGTCCTTTTCTTTTGCAAAAAGAACAAGTGAAGACTACTGGATATCTTGCATATTTTCTGTGCTTAGTAATTCTATTTTGAGAGAAATTTCTATTATTAATCATACCATTTTCTTGTCTGAAGAAAACCGTGTTGTTTTTGCAAATGCCTCTTAACCTCTGATTCTCATCTTTGAGATCAAAAACCTGTTTGTTGAGTTCATTATTCCAATCACTTTGAATGCTCAAAGTTCTCTTTAAAGTAGTAATTTCCTCTTTTTGAGCTTTATTATCAGTCATAAGCATACAATATTTACTCTTGAGCCTATTACATTCTTCTTGAAGATTAGTTAATTCATGTAAAAACTCAGTTTTAAGTTCAGTTATATCCGAGCCTGAGTCAGAAATTACCTGATAACTTGAGGGCACTAATGGACTGTGACTACAGGTAGACTGGTTGTCACTCTCATCTCTGGTGGCAAATGCCATGTACGCCAGATTCTTCACTTCTTGCTCCTCTTCTGAACTAAAGTCACTCCAGGAAGCTGCGAGTGCCCTTTCTTTTGCTTTATTAGGACACTTCGATCTTATATGACCTGACTTTCCACACTTAAAACAAATGGTCAAATCTTTCTCATTGGAAGACCTGACGTCTTCCTTATCAAGTCTGAACCTTTCTCGACTTTCAGGAGGTCTTTCATAAGATTTAGATGAGTTTTTATCAAAGTAACTTCTGTTTGACACATATTTTTCATTTGTTCTTGGAGTTCTTTCAGTTCCTTCCCTATCTCTTTTAAAATCATAAGAGTTATTGTTAAATCCTCTTGAATCATGGAATGATCTTCTTGCCTGAAAGTCTTTTTTCATTTTGAGCATTCGATGAAACTTCCTACTTACCAAGGCAAATTCTTTCTCAAATTCCTCTCCCATGTCAATTTCAGAATCACTATCACATTCTTGTGCTTTAAACGCTATGACTTTTCTTTTTCTGTGATCATCCTTGTTCATTTGTATTATGACTTCCTCATGACTCAGTAAAGATCCTATTAATCTTTCTATAGATAGGACTTTTAATTCTTTGGCCTCTTCAATTGCAGTACGTTTAGGCAACCATTCTCTAGGTAAGCACCTCAATATTTTTCTGACCAAATCCTTTGTTTCAAAGATTTTTCCTAGTCCCTTTAACCTGTTTATTAAGTCATTGAACCTCTTATACATACTGGAAATTGATTCTCCTGAACTCATTTCAAATGACTCATACTCATTCAATAACACGTCTATTCTACTTTCCTTTACCTCAGACGTACCTTCATGAGTAGTCTGAAGAGACTCCCATATTTCCTTTGCTGATTCGCATTGAGCAACTTGGCTTCTTTCCTCTGGAGACAAAGCTGAAAACAGGATATGCATGGCTCTTGAGTCAAGTTGGGAGGAAACCTTCTGATCTTCCTTCCAGTCTTCTTCATTCTCATCGTCCACAGGTACTGGTCCTTTTCTTACAACAGCCCATAGTTCTCCATCCACTCCACGCAGGTAGATCCTCATCCTCTTCTTCCAGACTGTATAGTCTGTTCCATCAAACCACGGAGGATTTGTGTTTGCCGAGTATGCTACACCATTTGAGGTTGACCCAGACATCTTGAGATCTTTCTCTTTGGCGACAGTGAGTCCTTCAAAGAGCCTGCTCTGATACCAATTGTAAACTCTGAGTATTGTGATGATAGAGAGTCAGAAAAACAGATTGTGTTTAATGACTCCCTAGAATTTGAACTGAAATGATACTTTTATTTAAATGGAAAAATTCAGTACAGCGAAACTTAGCCAAGCCAAGTAACTTGGCTCTTTCGAACAAAGAAGGAAAACACTCAAAGCGCTCACTCCCCAAGATTGAATCACCCAGTACAAACTTATACACTGTGATTCTATCTACCAGAGTAAGTTCACCCTTCGATCCAAATTGATTGAGATTCAAAACCCAGAAATTCTCACAATTCCCTATCGAAGTACACTTAAAACACGCTGAAGAGCTTACAATTTATACCGAGAAGAAGAAGAGACTGTTGCCTAGAGAGGAGCCTTCCTATAGCCTGCATAATGCCTTTCTCATAGAGCCGGTGCGAGGTGGAGCGGTTTGCAGAAAAGATAGAGATGTTGAGAGGAGGAAGTCGAACGAGATGGCTGATCAGAAATCAGCAATCGAGGAGTCCAGTTTGACTTTGAAGGATGATTCTTAGGATAAAACGATGTCACTTTAGAAGATGGGCAAAACGTCGTCGAAGTGCTCCAGAGAGCAAGTCCGTTTTGTTCAACACCTTGTTCTTATATTAACTAGCTCACTATCGAGCCACCTATTTATTACTTAGAAGTAGGATTCCTAACCTCCTTATTATTAGGAGTGGGTTTCGTGACATCCTTACCAATCAAGAGTAGGATTCATGACCTCCTTATTATTAGGAGTGGGTTTCGTGACATCCTTACTAATCAAGAGTAGGATTCATGACCTCCTTAAACTTTCTCATCGTGGGAAGTGAGGTGACTGTATGTGTAGCTAGTTAAGCGAAGATTAAACGTGTTCTTGACTTGCTGTTCAAGATTGATATGGATAATCTCCCACACAATGGGAGGCCTATCTTGATTAACTTGCTAAGTAACTTGTACTTGCTTAAGATGATCTCGAACACAATGGAAGATCTAAGCTTAAAAACTTGTTGAATTTAGTATCTCATGCTTGTTAAACATATTTTCTCGATGTATTATTATCTTCCTCAACATATAACTACTTGTTTGCATTAAAAAATATTTTTCTGATGAATGTAATGCCATGGATACTGAATTTAAATAACTGAGCATGAGTGAACTTAGTGATACACTATGCTATAGGGTTCAAATTAACTTGATAGGTAATCAAGGTAGTGTCTCCATAAGGCCTTTCCAATTTCACTACTTATATTGCAGATCTTGTGTTTAGGGAATACTTATTTTGCAGATCTTGTGTTTAGGGAAACCTCAACCTCAAATGAGAAAAGTAGTTTAGGGAAGCGCTGTATAGGTAATAATCCCATAGAGTTTTCAGACTAATCGTTAAAATAATCAAAACATATACAAGAAATTGAAGACATTTGCACGGATCTCTCCACTCACTATGGGCCAATATGCTACCTCTTTGGTGGATCTATACTTGAGAGATGGAAAAGGGTGGCACATGGATAGGAACCATTCATGCTATCACGATTCACAGATTACCCATTGCATTATTTTCACTAGCAAATCATGTACTATCAAAGGTTGTCAACAAATCATATAAATCACTTGTCTTAAAATAGATTCATGTGACACAAATAGGAATATGAACAGTAAAGATAAAGATAGTAAGATGAAGGGTTAATATTTTCGTATGGCCTGAACTTTGACAAAAATAAACATCCTCCCCAATCTTTTCGATCTATAACATCCTGGCCCGAACTATACACCAAAATAAACAATTTGGCCAAACCCGATGTTTGACCGTTAACTTGGACGGTCAAACGCGTTGACTAACGGTCAACGAGCCACGTCACAGCCAAGTCAGCTAGTTTAAATTAAAAAAACAATTCCACCTATTCCATTTTATTTCCTTTCTCATTTTGAAGAAGAAAAAAAAAAAAATAAAAAAAAGTTCCCCAAAACGCAGGACCCTTCTCCTTCCTTCATCGTCGAACCTCCTCACCTGGCCGACTAAAATGCAGCGGCGGGCGATCTTCTGAGCCCCCGCCGCCACCGCCATCGATATCACCATCGATTCCCACTTGCCATTAACCTCTGCCTTCCTTTCCTCTTCTCGCCTTCTTCCCAACCTTCCGACCTTCCTTCTTCAATGTCATCTCCGCCACACACAGAAATCCAGAACCCACATCTCAATTCTTCCTCCACAATAAAAGATTCCACTGTAAAACCACCCAAATCAAAGACTCTGTTTTTTTCCTGGATTCTTCCTCTCATATACTGCCCTTCTTACCTCCCCCACAAAATCTCGCCTCAATTCCCGATCTGGGTTCCTTCCTAAGGTTGAAATCGACACAAAGAGATAGAGATTTTTATTCTCCTTTTGAAATCCCCCTCCCTCGATTCCCCTTTTCCCAGATTCTCCACCTAAGAAAAAGCATATTCTTCAGTAACCCTCCTCTGTTTTCTGCCGACTCAGAAACTGATAAAAATCCCCACTTCGCCCTTCCTTCTTCTCACACTTCACCATGAAGACTCCGTTCCTTCTTTGAACCCACCAAAAGAGAGCAAAAGAACACACATAAAAACGAATAAGTAGCCATGGAAGCTCTTTAACCGCATTTCTACATGTCGAGCCACCACCTGCTAAACGACAACAGCAGCAGCAGCCAGAGCTCGGAGTGGACCAGAGAAGAGAACAAGGCCTTCGAGAGCGCTCGGGCTCTCTACGGCGAGCACGATCCGCACCACTGGCTCAAAGTCGACACCATTATCCCGGGAAAATCAGTCTCCGATGTGATCGAACAGTACAGGGAGCTGGAAGAAGACGTGTGCGAGATCGAAGCTGGGCGCGTCCCGATCCCCGGTTACCTGGCCGCGGACGACGACGCGGCTTTCAGCCTGGACCTCATCGTCGGGCTCGACTTCGTCGATTCATACAGAAAGGGGCCCATGTGCTCCACTAAGACCTCCGATCAGGGCCGCCATCGATCCGCCCGCCGCTGCATTTTAGTCGGTCAGGTGAGGAGGTTCAACGATGAAGGAAGGAGAAGGGGAGAACGGATGGTGAATTCTGTGGATGGGGATGAAGCGATATGGATAAGGTAGGGTTAGGGCAGGGGGTCCTGCGTTTTGGGGAACTTTTTTTTTTTATTCTTCAAAATGAGAAAGGAAATAAAATGGAATAGGTGGATTTTTTTTAATTTAAACTTGTTGATTTGGTAGTGACGTGCCGCGTTGACCGTTAGTCAACGCGTTTGACCGTCCAAGTTAACGGTCAAACATCGGGTTTGGCCAAATTATTTATTTTGGTGTATAGTTCAGGCCAGGATGTTATAGATCGAAAAGATTGGCCAGGATGTTTATTTTGGTCAAAGTTCAAGCCATACGAAAATATTAACCCTAAGATGAATGACATCAACTGAGAGATATATCGCCTTCCCCACATTTCCTCTCTCTAATTTTTCAATTTTCAAACGCTCTCAACTCTCTCTACATTTTTCCACCTGGGGAGTCGCCGGCTTCGCCTACGGGTGACCGGTGGCAACCCACCCCATTTTATTTCTCGTCATTTTCCTTCTGCTCTTTCTTTTGACAATCCCTCTGTGGATTTTTCTAGTTCCAGCTTTTTTGCTTTCCCTTGTGGAGTTTTCCATTAACCTCTCTTTAGAGATGGTTACTCTTCCACACTTCAGGTCTATGCTCAGATCATGAAGTCGGTTTCGGTGTTTAGAGGGGATCGCTTTGGCAATCTACATCCTTCTTCTTGACATTTAGAGCTTTCCTCCTTGCTTCACTCAGAATGTCGTTGTGATTCGGTGGATTTGGCTTATTGCCTGTGGTTCTACTGTCATTTGGCTTGGATGTAAGGATGAAGTGTGTTTCTGGTGATCTTGGTGCCCTGGGTTGTCTTTGGATGTTGGTGTTGTTGTGGTCTCGGCGCGGCAACTGGTTGTGTGGCTCGTTCTATTCTCCTTGGGCTTTGGTGGTGGTGGGATGTGTTCGGTTTTGTTTGTGATGGTGTGGGTTGGTTGAGGCGGTGTTGTGGGATTTGCTTGCTTGGTGGTGGTGGCTTCGATGTCGACGACGTTTTTGTTTCTGGTGGTCGGATGCAGCTTCTCGGGTTGGTGGACGAAGGCGGTATTGAAGCCGCTTGGGGTGGTTGACGTCTTGTTGTTGCTGTTGGCTAGGGTTTTTGTTTGTGGGTTGGTTTGGTTGGCTGTTGGGCTTGCATTGTGGGCTGAGATGGTTTGTTTTTTTTGGCTTTTGTGGTTGTTTCATTTTCCTTTTTTTTGTTGTTGTTGTTTCTGTACGTGGGCTTGTTTGTGTTGATTGGGTGGGTGTCTTGTAATCTTATTTTGTTTATCTTTTTCACTTTGGCCAGACTTCTTTCTTTCAGAACTTTGGTTCAAACTCTGTATCACTTTCCTATTTCGTAATGAAATCAGGTTTCGTAAAAAAAATTGAGAGATATATATTAATAATCAAGCATCATACATAGTCTTTTGAACCTCTAGGGTTCACAAAAATACACAACAAATTGACCTAGTCATTCATGGGGACAAAAGACATACAAGACACCAGTTTGAGAGAGAGTAAACCCAGATTTCGGGTTTGGCAGATTTACTGCCAAAATAGCAAATTGACCGCCAAGAATGGCGTCCATTTCTTTTTTTTGGTAGAAGGATCGACGCTATAGCGTCTAATTCGTATTAATAATTAAGCGATATGGGAGACTCCCACAATGTCGTGACGTAGCCAATGGCCAAGTTCCATGTCGTACACATCGAACAAATGTGTACCAAAATCAAAAGGTGACCTCTGCTAGCGAGAAAGTCAGCAGCAAAATTAGCCTCTCTATACACATGTGAGACTCTCACCTCCCAATCAAACGAAAAGAAAAAGGTAAATCTGCCTAGCAATGGTTCCATGTCGATGATTGTCGTCCAAGCAGTCTTTAATAATGCTGACAGCAGCAGCCGAATCAAGCTTTAATTCCACCTTCCTGAAGCCTCTTTCCCAAGCAATCCTAAGACCTTCCAAGGTGCCTTTAAGTTCTGCAGCGGTGATTGTGCACTGGCCTAGATTGCAAACAAATACTTCCTTGCATCGTCCAAGATGGTCTCTGATGAATCCTCCTACAGCAGCATTCCCAGAAGGTTGCAGTACTGAGCCATCAGCTTGAACTTGAATCCATCCCTCTTCAGGGGCTCTTTCCACGCAATCTGACTGCACTGTAGTTATTGTCAGGTGGAACAGTAGTGATCGAGTCCCTTTGCTTAGCTTGCTCGATGATATTAAGCCAAGCTCTAATTCGACAGACCAGTCCTTGATCAGAGAACTTGCTGCCTTCCATAACTTCCTCATTTCTTTGTTTCCAGAGGTTCCAGCAAACAACCCCAAAGTCCACCCGTTTCTCCTCAATGCACATATTTCCAATGATCCAATCCTGGAAGGGGGAGTTCATATCATGAATGTGCAGCTTGTCCTTGAACTTGTGCCAGATAATGCCTACTTTTCCACAACTGCGCATGATGTGCTCAACAATTTCTTCCTTGTCCTTGCAGTAGGGATTTGTCGCAATCTTACTTCTTGTTCTCTCCCTGTTGGTGAAGAGCTTGTCATGGAGGACAGCCACATAAAGTGTTTTATTCTATTAGGCCCTTTCCATTTTCACAGCAGCTTCCGGCTTTGCACAACATCCTCCTCATCATTACTGGCCGCCAGGTAGTATGCAGACTTCAAACGAAACCTTCCATCACATTCCAGGCCCCGGATCATTTTATCCTCTCCTAGTTCAGGCTTAGGAGTTCCATTCTTGCATTCAGAGAGAGAACCTCATCAGGGAGCAGAGAATTCAGTCTTTCCCGGTCCCACTCACCTGAGGGGTGAACCCAGTAAGCCACATGTGTGTCCAGATCATCCATATTGGGTTCTCCAATGATGAAGTTCTCAAGCACCAGATCGTTCTCAATCCATGGATGCCTCCAGAATGAGGTTGTCTCTCCATTTCTAATGCTCCAGCATGAACCCTCCTTCATAAGTGGCATTGCCTGCACAATAGCTCTCCAAGGACTTGATTTGTTAGTCTTTTTCATGGACGTGATCTCACCATTCCTGTGGTTAAAATATTTTCCTTGAAGGACCTGAACCCACAGAGCACTTTCATTATTAAAGATTTGCCAAGCCAGTTTAATCATAAAAGCTTTGTTCAAACAACGAGCAGATCTCAACCCCAGTCCCCCTTGTATCTTAGGTTTACAAATTGTATCCCATGAGACAAGGTGAGGCTTTTTTTACCATCTTCAGACCCCCCAAACAAATCCCCTTACCATCTTGGCTTCAATTTCTACCCTGGAGCTTCTGGACAATTTTCTTGTTATGGAATTTCTCTAGAGGTAGAGCAATCCCCTTTAAAAGATGTGTCGAAGTAGAGTACGATGAGGTGTATTTATAGGGCCTGTTATAAATGCGCTGCTACGAATCAGGAAATTGCTGGAATCGACAAAGCAAGAATACGAAAGCGAGAATCGAAAACACGACACACGATTTATGTGGTTCACTAACACGATGTGTGTTAGCTACGTCCACAGGCGAGAGAGAGCCAATTTCACTATATCAAGGAGATTACAGATTACAGAGGAGTATGAGAAGTATTTATAGTACTTCTCCATGTGGGTCTAAACCTAATCCAATATGGCAAAGGAAACGGTTACCAGTCGTAGCGGCTGATAGTCCGATTCAAGTCACATCAACAAATCTCCACCTTGACTTGAATCCTCTTCCTCTGAAATCTCTGATGTACTCTGCTCCTTCTATCTCTCTCCCGCCATCAATGCCCCGCAGGGCGGAGTCACCCACTCAAGACATTCAGCAAGTCCAAGCAGTGTTGGAACTTGCCATGTGGAACCGGCTTCGTGAACATATCAGCAGGATTATCCGCGGTGCCAGCCTTCTTCACCTTAATCCTCTTCTCTGTCCTCAAGAAATGATACCTCACATCGATGTGCTTAGTCCTCTCATGGTGGACTTGATCCTTGGCCAAGCATATTGCACTCAAACTGTCGCAATACACCACTGCCTGATCATGATGTAGACCCAGATCACCAACCAGTCCCTTCAACCATATTCCCTCCTTAGCAGCTTCTGTCAACGCCATATACTCTGCCTCAGTAGTAGACAATGTCACCGCCCACGACAGAGTTGCCTTCCAGCTCACTACAGAACTCTCAAGAGTGAATACATAATCGGTCATCGATCTCCTCGTGTCAACATCTCCAGCATAGTCCGAGTCAGAATACCCAGACAGCAAGCACTCTGCATCATTTTCGAAGCTAATCCCCACATCAGGTGTACCCTTAAGGTACCGAAAGATCCTCTTCACAGCCTGCCAATGCTCTTTTTCAGGTTGTATCATAAACCTGCTGACAACACTAACATCATGTGCAAGATCAGGTCTAGTGCATACCATAACGTACATCAAGCTACCTACTGCACTAGCATATGGGACTCTCGACATGTACTCCTTCTCAGCCTCTGACTGTGGTGCATAAGCTGAGGATAGATGAACATTTGAAGCACTAGGAGTATTTAAGGACTTTGCTGAAGACATGCCAAACCTCGACAGTATCTTCTGGATGTAGCTCTTCTGTGACAAGAAAAGCTTCTTCTTCGACCTGTCCCTGTAAATCTCCATACCCAAGATCTTCTGAGCAGCTCCCAAATCCTTCATCTCAAACTCAGCACTGAGAAGCCTCTTTAACTTCTGGATATCAGACTTTGACCTTGCAGCTATGAGCATATCATCCACATACAGAACTAGATATATCATCGAACCATCCTCTGCCTTGCTGTGATATACACAATAATCATATGGACTTCTGTTGTAGCCCAGCTCAAGCATGTAACTGTCAAATCTCTTGCACCATTGCCTCGGAGATTGCTTAAGTCCATACAAGGATTTCTTCAGCTTACAAACATAGTCTTCTTTTCCCGGAACCTGGATTCCTTCTGGCTGAGTCATGTAAATTTCTTCCTCCAACTCTCCATGTAGGAAAGCTGTCTTCACGTCTAGCTACTCGAGCTCCAAGTCATAATGTGCCACTATT